AGTGCCAGTAGTTGTTGTTTTTTTGTTTGTTTTACTTTTATTTCCCTTGCCTCCAGAGACATATCTAGAAACTTTTGCTACAGGTCTCACATTTAGGTCTCTGATCCATTTGGAGTTTATTTTTTTGTATAGTGTAAGTACTTTGGTTTCATTTTTTCCATGGAGCTGTCTTGTTTTCCCAACACCTTTTGTTGAAAAGACATTTCCCCATTGCATATTCTTTCCTCTGTTGCAAATTAATTGGCCATATAATTATGGGTTTATTTCTGGGCTCTTTGTTCTGTTGATATATGTGTCTGTTTTTGTGTCAGGACCATAGTGTTTTGATTACTACAACTTTGTAGTATGTTTTTTTCTTAGTATGGAGTCCCACATGAGGCTTGAACTCATGACCCTGAGAGTAAGACTGAGCTGAGATCAAGAGTTCAATTTGGGGGTAGGAGTGGGGGGAAAGAGTTGGACACTTAACTGAGTGAGTTTCCCAGGCGCCTAGTGGTCCTGTAATGTATCTTGAAATCTGGGATTAGGATAAATAACTCCAGTTCTCTTCTTTTTCAAGATTGCTTTGGCTATTTGGGATGTTTTGTGGTTTCATACAGATTTTGGAATTATTTGTTTAAGTTCTGGGAAAAATACTCTTGGTATTTTGATAGGGATTGCATTAAATCTGTAGATTGTCCTGGGATGTATGCACATTTTAGCAATATTTGTTCTCCCCATCCATGAATATGGACTGTCTTTCCATTTGTTTGTTTCACATTCAGTTTCTTTCATCACTGTTTTATATTTTTCATTTTTATTTATTTTTATTTATTTTTATTTACTTGTGATAGTCACAGAGAGAGAGAGAGAGAGAGAGGCAGAGACACAGGCAGAGGGAGAAGCAGGCTCCATGCACCGGGAGCCCGATGTGGGATTCGATCCCGGGTCTCCAGGATCGCGCCCCGGGCCAAAGACAGGCGCCAAACCGCTGCACCACCCAGGGATCCCTGTTTTATATTTTTCAAAGTACAGATCTTTGACCTCATTGGTTAAATTTATTTCTAGGTGTTTTTTATTATGTTTGCTGCAGTGGTAACTGGAATCGTTTTCTTAATTTCTTTTTCTGCTACTTTATTATTAGTGTACAGAAATGCAACAGATTTTTATATATTGATTTTATATTCTGCAACCTTACTGAATTCATTTATCAGCTCTAGAAGTTTTTTGGTGGTCTTACGAGTTTTCTATATGTAATATATTATCTGCAAATAAGGTTTTAATCAGTTTGGATTCCTTTTATTTCTGTGATTGCTAGTAGCTAGGATTTCCAGTACTATGTTGAATAAAAATGATGAGAGTGGAATCCTTGTCTTTTTCCTAATCTTAGGGGAAAAGTTCTCACTATTTTACTATTTGGTATGATGATAGCTATGGGTTTTTCATATATGGCCTTAGAAATATGTTCCCTCTAAGCCTACTTTGTTGAGGGATTTTATTATGGATTGATGTTGTGATTTGTCAAATGCTTATTCTGCATCTATTGAAATGATCATATGTTGTTGTTGTTGTTTTAAGATTTTATTTATTTATTCATAAGAGACACAGAGAGAAGCAGGCTCCTCAAGGGGATCCTGATGCGGGACTTGATCCTGGAACTCCGGGATCATGCCCTGAGCCAAAGGCAGACACTCAACCTCTGAGCCACCTAGGTGTCCCAATCGTACGGTTTTTATTCTGTTTCTTGTTGATGTGATGTATCATGTTGATTTGCAAATATTGAAGTATCCTTGCATACAAGGAATAAATCCTGCTTGATCTTGGTGAATGAGTTTTTCAGTGATTGTTGGATTCGGTTTGCCTAATATTTTGTTGAGGATTTCTGTGTCTGTGTTCATTGAGATAATGGCCTTGAGTTTTCTTTGTAATGCTTTATCTTGTTTTGTTATATTCTGGTAATGTCTGTCTCATAGAATGTATTTGGAAGTTTTCCTTCCTCTTCTATTTTTGGAATATTTTGAGAACAGGTTTTAAGTCTTCTTTAAATGTTTGATAGATTTTACCTGTGAAGCCATATGGTCCTGGACTTTTGTTGGTTGGGAGTATTTTGATTTCTGACTCAATTTCATCGCTGGTAATTGGTCTGTTCAAGTTTTCTATTTTTTTCCTGATTCAGTTTGGGGAGGCTATATGTTTTTAGGAATTTATCCATTTCTTCTAGGTTATCCAGTTTGTTGGCACATAATTTTTTATAATATTCCTGTATAATCCTTTGTATTTCTTTTTTTTTTTAATCCTTTGTATTTCTGTGGTGTCAGTTATTTCTCCACTTTCATTTCTGATTGTGTTTCTTTGAGTTCTCTTTCTCTCTCTTTTTGAGAAGTCTAGCTAAAGGTTTATCAATTTTGTTGATCTTTTCGAAGAATCAGCTTCTGGTTTCATTGATTTGTTGTTTTGTTTTTTAGTTTCTATTTAGTATATTTCTACTCTAGCTTTTATTATTTTCTTCTTCTGGATAGCCTGTCTCTTAATGATCTTAACCATGTTGAACAAGATGACATGCTGATATTTGACAGTTTTTGGTTTGTAAAAGGAACAGAGTCATTTGACTCTCTGATAGTTAGAAAGCAGGATCTGGGAATACAAAAAATAACAAATTATATGATATGGTTTAGTCACTAAATTATGTAGCAATTTGAAAGAATAGAGGATGAAGAAATTAGGAAAAATCTTTGGAGAATACAGTGTCAGTTTCAGTCTCTAATCAGCTAGAGGGACCTCTGAACGTTTAGTTTTTTCTTGCTATTAATAACTGAGTTAACCTGGTAAGCCCTAGAATTTTTTAATGTTCATGTTTTTATTTGAATACCATTTTTTTATTCTTTTGGTCCCACATTTATTCTTTCAATTTATTTTTTGTATTTAAAAAAATAACAAAATGTATCATGCTAACCATTTTTAAGTGTACAGTTCAGTAGTGTTAAATATATTCACACTATTGTCAAACAGATCTTTAGAACTTTTTCATCTTGCAAAGCTAAAATTTTTTACTCATTAAATACCTCTGTTCCCCCTTGCAGCCCCGGGTTACCATCATTTTTTTTTTTCTGTCTCTGTGAAAATAGACTATGTTAGATACCTCATATATGTGGGATCATTCAGTGGCTTATTTCACTTAGCATAATGTTCTCAAGTGTTATCCATATTGTAGCATATGATATGACTTCTTTCCTTTTTAAGTTTTTTTTTTTTTCAGAATTACTTAAATTTTTTTGGCATACTGATCCATCATTAACAATCAATGCCATAAACCTGTCCATCACCTTAGAAGTTTTTTCCGACCCTCTCCTATGTCATTATTATAGGTTGTTTTGTTAATAAAATACTTAACATAAGATCTACCCCCTTAACTAATTTTTAAAAGATTTTATTTATTTGAGAGAGAAAACAGAGAGGGATTGGAGGGAAGAGCAGAGGGAGAGGGACAAGCAGACTATGAGCTGAGCATGGAGCCCGAAGTGGGGCTCAATCCCAGGACCCTGAGACTACTACCTGAACTGAAATCAGAAGTGGATGCTTAATGCACTGAGCAACCGAGGTATCTCCTCCTTGTAAATTTTTAACTATACAGTTCAGTTTTGTTAACTATAGGCACTATATGCAGTTCAGCAGACCTCTAGGACTTATTTACTTTATGTAATTGAAAATTTGTACCCTTTGACTAATATCTCTCCATTTCTCCTTGCCCCAGCCCTTGGAAAGTACCATTCTATTCTCTGCCTTTGTGGGTTTGAATATAATATAGTACTTGTTCTCTGTGTCTGGCTTATTTCACTTAGCATAGGTTCATCTGTGTTGTCATAAATGGCAAGATTTCCTTCCTTTTTTTAAAAATTTTTTTTCCTTCCTTTTTTTAATGCTGAAGAGTATTCCATTTTGCATGCAAGTGTATGTCTGTGCCATACACATTTTAATTATTTGTTGACTGATAGGCATTTACGTTGTTTCCCTGTCTTGGCCATGGTGAATAATGCTGCAGTGGACATGGGAATATAGATATCTCCTTGAGATCCTGATTTCAGTTCCTTTGGATATATCCAAGGTGGGATTGCCGAATCATATTGCACTTCTGTTGTTAGTTTTTTTGAGGATCTTCCATCCTGTTTTCCAAGGTGGCTGTTTCAATTTACATTTCCACCACCAGTGTACCGGGGATCCCTTTTCTCCACATCCTCACCAACACTTGTAATCTTTTTTTTTTTTTTTTTTTTGATTAAAGATGTCCTACCAGATGTAAGGTGATATCCCATGGCAGTTTTAGTTTGCCTTTCCCTGATGATTACTGATGTTGAGCATATTTTCATATATATGTTGGCTATTTATGTATTTTTTGAGAAATGTTTGTTTACTTCTTTTGCCCATTTTTAAATCAAGTTATTTGAGTTTTGTTTGTTTGTTTTGCCATAATGTTATAGGAGTTCTCTATGTGTTTTTTTTCCCTCTATGTGTTTTGAATGTTAGCCCTTTGTTAAATATATGGTTTGCAAATATTTTCTTCCTTTCCATAGGTTGCTCTTTTATTTTATTGTTTCTTTCGCTGTCCTGAAGCTCTTTAGTTTTGTGTAATCCTGCTTGTCTCTTTTTTTCTTTTGTTGCCTGTGCTTTTAGTATCAGATCCTTTATTTTTAAGGCTGAATATTATTCTGTTGTATGTATATACTACATTATCTTTATTCACTCATTTATCGGTGGACATCTCAGTTGCTTCAAACATTTTAGCTATTTTGAGTAATGCTGCTGTTAATATGAATGCACAAAAATCTCTTCATGACTCTACTTTCAATTCTTTTGGATATAACCAGAAATGGGATTGCTTGGATTATATGATAGTTCTATTTTTAACTTTTTGAGGTACCTCTTCATGTAGAAGTTTTCACAAATTATCATTGCTGTTACTTCTACTAAACTATATGAAAATCTTATTTCTTGAATAATGCAATTTTTTTTTTTTTAATATCCAGGGCCCTTGCAGAATCTCCACCATCTGTAAACAACCTAAAGAATGAACTTGGTGATAAAGGGAAGAATAAAGATGAAGGGGAAGTTTGTAACCATGAAAAAAAAGCTGCAGGTGTTTGTCTTGAGCCTCATCAGGAAGAGAAAAAGAAGAAACGTTCTGGATTCAGAGACAGAAAAGTATGGAACACAATCTTATAAATTAATCAGAACTGTTTTTAATTCTAAATTAGAGTAATGTGGTTGGGTCTCTTTTATCATTTATTTCAGATGATTCATATTCTCCTTGCAGATACCACCTCTCTGCTATTTTCTGTCATGTTCTAAGGCAAATGTACTCTTGGAATGTGAAGTTAATGGAGCTAGTGAAGATCTAGATTGGTAATCAGGATTTGCATATATTTTCTTCCCTCTTTTAATGCAACTACTTTAGTTGATTCTTGCTTTCCAGACCTTTCTGATGCTAGATGTTCTTGGGTATTTTGAATCTTTGGTTCAACTGATTTATGATGCCAAGTTGTAAAGGCAGAATAACATCTCTTTGGAAATATACAAATATTTCCAATAATTCAACTAATTTTGATGATAATAGAAGCTTTGAATGCCCTCAACATTTTATATCTTTAATACAATCTGCTTTTTATAGAGGTCTGCCTCAGAAAAATTTCAATTCCAGTGTAGTAATGCTTATGATGATGAGCATTTGAATTCAGGAGACATGAGTGATGAAAAGTCAAAAGGATGAATTTCTTAGACATTTTGCAGGTTAATGTTCAAGTTTAAGGAATTGACTTCATTTGCTAAAATGTAGCTAATTGCAACATGATAATCTGAGTTATTTCTGTGTTGTGTGTTCGTATGGTGTATATTTGCAAGAAGAGTTCCTTTGAGAAATTTGGATCATTTTTTTGTTTGGATCAAGTTATTAAATATGTCTTTTTATTTCTTAATTCCATTTCTAGTTGAGGTAAATTTGAACAAAAATTATATATTACAAGTTAATTGTCAACTATCCTGGTATTTCCACAATGATACATTTATTTAATCTTTTGCCCTGAGTGATTTTGAGTAAAATTCCAATTTATCTGGTACCAGCACTTTCATTTTTAGTCAAACTTTCCTTTTTACAAAATAGAGATAAAATTGCCCAAGTAAGCATTTATTTTTGAACTTTCCATTTTCTTCTCCTGCTTCCTGCTTAGCAGTGACTATATATCATACTTCCCAGAAAGAAATGAAAGCCTGATAAGTGTAATTTACTTAATTTGTAACTCCCATGGCTATAAAACCTTTCTAACCTATTTCTGAAATCATTCTTCTTTCATTAAAGTCTCAGTAGAAGACCGGTGTTTTTTCTATTCAAGGATAATTGTTCCACATGTTATCCTGTTTCCCAACAACCTGTTTCAACACTTATTTTTTCCTCTGTCCAATTTCCTCAGTTGCTCTTTGCTTTTTCACTGATTATATAGTATACATAGACATGTTAAGGAGCTTTCCATCTTTAATAAAATAATAAATTGCATTTTTTAGCATGTGTTGTTTTCTCGTTTTTTTTTTTGTTTGTTTGTTTGTTTTGTTTTGTTTTTGTTTTGTTTTGTTTTGGCTTTTGGGTTTTTTTGTTTGCTTGGTTTTTGCCTTTCATTCTTTCCCTGCTATACCAAGCTGCTCCAGTCTCTACAGGCTATCTTTGACATCCTCACCTCGCACTTAAACTCTTTGGCTTTGTCCTTTTATGTTGTCTTGATTTTTGTGTAATATTTCAAATATTCAGAAAGAAAAAAATAGAATACTATAATGAACATACATGTATCTGACATTGATTTTTGTCAGGTTTTAACATTTGACTATATTTGCTTCAGTTTTTTTTCTTTAAAGATTTTATTTATTCATGAGAGACACATAGAGAGAGGCAGAGACATAGGTAGAGGGAGAGGCAGGCTCCCTGTGGGGACCTTGATGCGGAACTTGATTCCAGGACCCCAGGATCACAACCCGAACCAAAGGTTCAACCACTGAGCCACCTATGTGCCCCACTTCAGTTTTTTTTAAAGAAACAAAATGAATATATAAAGTACGTTGCTGTATACTTTCCCAAATCCTATTTTTTTCTCTTTTTCGGAGGTAGACCATTGTCTTTAATTTGTAATTTATTAATGTTATGCATAGCCTGGTTCTTTTGTGTGTTTTATATTTATTTTTTTATTTTTTATTTTTTATTTTTTTTTTTTTATTTATGATAGTCATACACACACACACACAGAGAGAGAGAGAGAGAAGCAGAGACACAGGCAGAGGGAGAAGCAGGCTCCATGCACCAGGAGCCCGACGTGGGATTCGATCCCGAGTCTCCAGGATCGCGCCCTGGGCCAAAGGCAGGCGCCAAACCGCTGCGCCACCCAGGGATCCCTGTGTGTTTTATTTTTAATTAAAAAAAAATTCTCAGGTGCAGAGAGTTAGGACAGTCCTATCACTCAGTTTATGTTATACTATCATTGTACATACTCCTCTCTTTTATTTAATATTTATATTCTTTTATCTTGTTTCATTTGAGTTATTTTTAATTTTTTAATTTTTAATTTTTATTATTCCTCTGGCACATCAAGTCCTGAATTCTAAAAAAGTCTTACTGCTTCAGTGTTGCTTCATGGCCATTTCTTTTCTCTTGGAACTCTTCTTAAATGTAACTTGGATCTCACAATCTGTACTGTTTATCTTGTAACTGTTCTATATTTTTTTCATTAGTTCTTCCCCTACTTTCCTGGGGTCTCTTCCTTTTCTTCCCCTCTTTTTTTTTTTTGTGTGTGTGGTGGTAAAGTAGTTAAAACATCACATTTATCATGTTAACCATCTTTAAAGTATACATTTAATCACAGAGTGTCACCACCTATCATTTCCATAAATTGTTTTCATGTTATAAAACTGAAAATCTGTACCCATTAAATAACTCTTTACTACCCCTTCCCCCACCCCCTAGCAACCACCATTCTGCTTTCTCTCTGAATTTGAATACTAAAAGAACCTCATACAAGTGGAATCATACGGTATTTGTATTTTTGTGTTTGGCTTATTGTACTTTGTGTAATGTCTTCAGGGTTCGTCATGTTTTAGCATATGTTGGAATTTCCTTATTTTGAGGGATATTCCAGGGTATGTATATACCACATTTTGTTCTTGCACTTATCCTCTAATGGATACTTGAGTTGCTTCCACATTGTAGCTGTTGTGAAAAATGATACTGTGATCATAGGTAAACAAATATCTATTGAAGACCTTGCTTTCTGTTCTTTTGGGTATGTACCCAGAAGTGAAATTGCTAGATCATATGCTAATCCTATTTTTAATTTTCTTATGGAACCTCCATACTGTTTTTCACAGTAATATACCATTTTACATTTCCACCAGCAAGGGTTCTACTTTTTTCATATCTTTGCCAGTGCTTGCTATGTACTATTCTTATATTAGCCATCCTAACAGATGTGAAGTGATATCTCAGTATAGTTTTCATTTGCATTTCTGTAATGATCAGTGTGATGTTGAACAACTTTGCATGTGCCTAGTAGTCAGTCATATTTCTTCCTTGGAGAAATATTTGTTCACATCCTTTGCCAGCTTTTTAACTCTGTTATTGTATTTTTTTAATTATTAAGTTTTAGGAGTTCTCCGTATGATCTATTTGTTAACTCCATAACAGATATATCATGTGCAATTATTTCATCTCATTATATAATTGCCTTTTTACTCTATTGACATTATCTTTTGATGCACACAATTTTTAAAATTTCATGAAATGCACTTTGTCCTTTTTTTTCTTTGTTGCTTGTGCCTCCAGTGTCATACCCAAGAAATCATTGCCAAATCTAATGTGAAGATTTCCATCTATGTTTTCTTCCATAAGTAATATAGTTTTAGGTCTTCTATTTTGGTCTTTGATCCATTTCAAGTTAATTTGTTTTAAAGATTTATTTATTTATTTTAGAGAGAGAGAGAGTGGGTCAGCACATGAGAGTAGGAAGGGAGGGGTATGGGGAAGAGAGAAGAACAAGCAGACTCCACACTGAGTGCAGAGACAGTCACAGGGATTAGTACCATAATCCATGAGATCACGATCTGAGCTGAAATCACAAGTTGGACGCTTAACCAGCTGAGCTACCCAGGCACCCCTCAAGTTAATTTCTTAATATGGAGTTATATAAGGGTTCAGCTTCATTCTGTGGCATGTGGATACCAATATTCTCAGCACTGTTTGTTGAAAAAACTATTCTTTTTCCATTAAATGGTTGTGGCTCCCTTGTCAAAAATCATTGACCATGTATGTGAGGGTTTATTTCTAGCTCTATATTCTATTACAATGGTCTATATGTTCTTTTGATGACTAGTTTTGTAGTAGGTTTTAAATCAGGATGTAGTAGTCCTCCAACTTTGTTCTTTTTTTTCAAAATTTGTTTTGGGACACCTGGGTGGCTCAGTCAGTTAGTCTGCCTTTGACTCAGGACATGATCCAGTTCCACATCAAGCTCCCTGCTCTGGGATGTCTGCTTTTCCCTCTGCCCTTCTCCCCTGCTCATGATCTCTCTCTCTCCCTCTCAAATAAATAAATAAAATCTTAAAAAATTTTTTGTTTTGGAGTCCTGAGAGATTCCATGACACGTATTAGTTGTTTCCATATCTTGGCTATTGTGAATAATGCTGTAATGAACATGGGAGTACAGATATTTCTTCAAGATATTGATTTTATTTTCTTTGAATATATACCCAAAAGTGAGATTTCTGGAAGATGTGGTAGTTCTATTTTTAATGTCTTAAGGAACTTCCATACTACTTTCCATAGACGCTGAACCAATTTACATTTCCACCAACAGTGCAAAAAGGATCCCTTTTCTCCATATCGTCACCTACGCTTGTTATCTTTACTCTCTTTTTTTTTACTCTCTTTTTAATTAAATATTGTATTTATTTACTGAGAGGGTGGGTGGGCAAGGACCCCAACATGGGACTCAGTTTTAGGACACCAGGATCATGACTTGAGCTGAGGCAGATGCTTAACACACTGAGCCACCCGACTGGTCCTCTTTTCTCTCTCTTTTTTTTAAACTTTTTTTTTTTTAAAGATGTATGTATGTATGTATGTATGTATTTTTAAAGATTTTATTTATTTATTCATGAGAGACAGAGAGAGA